TTAACCTTGTTGAGATGCATCACTCGCCGAGTTTCTGTTGAAATCGGAGAATCCTTTCTAGCTATCTCTGTTGTCATTGTCAAAAACCTTTTAAATATTATCAAGATTATTTAACATCTCGCCCATACTAATACTTCACAATTATATATTCCTTAAATTAAACCAATACAATAAAATTCGATATCGCCATATCATGTGATACAAATCCCGGTAATCTGATTGGTTCAAGCTTTCCTCATATCGTTGCTGAAAACCTCAAAACACGCCAATATTCAAATGTGTTAGTGGTTTTATACTATCTCCTGGAGGATTATATTACACTCAGTAATAATAAATTACTCGGGACCAATAACGCCGGGTATACGCGCTGTAGTACCATATTAAATTTTCCCAGTCTTAAACGTGTTAACTTAAGTCTAGGTATCATTTTTAGCGGATTAGTCAGAGACTTTAAAATTTGTAGCCATGTAACCAATGCATGCCCAAAATGTAAACCCTTTTTCGGCGATTTTGTGGAACACGAATTCGAACCCAATATGACATTGACCGGTGGCGCATTGGCGAATATTTCAAATTGCGATGTCTTATCGTTGGATGTACTGCATTCGCGGCCACTGGTGTTGACCAGTTGACTCATTAATGCTACGATTATTCATGCCCTACATAACGGTAGTTCGCCATACATCAGTCATATACTAGTATATTGCACCGTTAAAATCTCTCGGTGAAATCAGTCCAAAATTAAAAACCACGACGTCATCTGAATATAGTAAATCTTATTTCTACACTTTTTCCCATAAGTGAAATTTATTTATTTTGTCGCAGCATTATCCGCGCATTCGTCCCATAAACTAATGCCATCCAATATAATGCGCTATTATGTCATTCTTTCCCTATTCTTTTCCATTGTCGAATCCGTTGAACACTTGCGCCTATTTACACACACATAAACCAATTGTGTCTGTACACACTCGTATTTATATATGTATATCACTGTTACAGTACTGTATATCACTGTTACATTTCACCGGAGGGGCTGCAGTCGATATTCAATGCAGGGAGTACACACACTACATACATACTGACACGAATGTACGGCAGATATAACACACTATTGTTTTTATAAAGACTATCAATGTTCAACCCCTAAGGCGATAGGTTTATTTAAGAAAGACAGTCCGCGAACTTTTCAAAATAATCTAGAAACATTAATGAGGCATATCGGGAATATTTGATCAAAATGTACGTTTTGTAATTTTCCTAATTTGCATACAGTCCTTTTTATTGTGTACAAGTTTTGATATTTCATATGGAACCCATAAAAAAATTATCTGAATCGACCCAAAATAAGGAAAATTGTGTTGTTTAGATGTCCTACGTTATGCATCGGCACTCAGTTCACATAATTAATGGCCGTCCACATTAGCCTGTACATAGAGCTTTTTACAGAAAATTGTTCCACTGATACTATTGTATTCATTTGGACACAGAAGATGTAATGAACATAGAATATGTAATGAACATAGAATATGTAATGAACACAGAATATGTAATGAACATAGAATATGTAATGAACATAAAATATGTAATGAACATAGAATATGTAATGAATATAGAATATGTAATGAACATAGAATATGTAATGAACACATAATATGTAATGAACATAGAGTATGTAATGAACACAGAATATGTAATGAACACAGAATATGTAATGAACATAGAATATGTAATGAACATAGACTATGTAATGAACATAAAATATGTAATGAACATAGAATATGTAATGAACATAGAGTATGTAATGAACACAGAATATGTAATGAACACAGAATATGTAATGAACATAGAATATGTAATGAACATAGAATATGTAATGAATACATAATATGTAATGAACATAGAATATGTAATGAACACAGAATATGTACTGAACTTAGAATATGTAATGAACATAGAATATGTAATGAACATAGAATATGTAATGAACACAGAATATGTAATGAACATAGAATATGTAATGAACACAGATTATGTACTGAAAACAGAATATGTAATGAACACAGCATATGTAACGAACATAGAATATGTAATGAACATAAAGTATGTAATGAACATAGAATATGTAATGAACATAGAATATGTAATGAATACATAATATGTAATGAACATAGAATATGTAATGAACACAGAATATGTACTGAACTTAGAATATGTAATGAACACAGAATATGTAATGAACATAGAATATGTAATGAACACAGATTATGTACTGAAAACAGAATATGTAATGAACACAGAATATGTAACGAACATAGAATATGTAATGAACATAAAGTATGTAATGAACATAGAATATATAATGAACATAGAATATGTAATGAACACAGAATATGTAATGAACATAGAATATGTAATGAACACAGAATATGTACTGAACACAGAATATGTAATGAACATAGAATATGTAATGGACACAGAATATGTAATGAACATAGAATATGTAATGAACATAGATTATGTAATGAACATAGATCATGTAATGAATGCTATAAACATATTGGTTATATAAACCATAAACCCTACAATAGATTATAGGGTTAATGTGTAAATTAACATTTTCTTATGTTTCTGACTTCCACTAATCAATTTCCAATAAGTACCACTTTCGCACATGCGTCTTATATGATTCTTATGTTGGCTAATATACAGTGTATCTGATATTGAATACAGTTTCTATAATAAAGGAATCGCGCTTTTAATGACAGGGACATTGTATAAATAAACATACATAGAAGATCACTGAGTAAAAAAAACAGGGTACTTAGCCACTGAGCAATTTATTCGGGCAGTACAGTACAATACGCTTATGATTGGGTAACGAACTGTAACATTACCATACTACTGGGCGACGGGACAGAGTTTGGAAAATGCTGCTACAATCCTACGCCATGCTAAGTTTAATTCCCGAACCCCATTGCATAATTTAATGTGCCTCACTCATCTATAGAGTTTAAACCTAAATGTCAATTTCATCTTTAAGTTAAATGAAACTTGCTAATGGGATGCTCCAAATACCACAGAACGTAGATGTTTTCCTTTTGTTATAATATTTATAGGTAGTTTTCTGTTCGGTGACAAATAGTTAACCATAGGTATTTAAAATAGATCGAAAATTAGTATTATAACTATATTTTATATAATTGGCAGTTAAATAATTTAACTTTTTACAAATACGCAATTAAGTCGAAGCTTATATATACAAGACAGTATTTAAAACGTTGAAAAAAAAACCTGCTCACTGATTGGTCAGTTGTTAATAATGCGTAGCCAATCAGACACAATATTTGCATTTACTCCAATTATGCTGTAGTTAAAGTTACTGTAATCTTAATAATTTTCTAGAAATACCTCCGTATTCCCTTATAATTGCCTGACATATATTTCAAAACAATGTGAAAATTTTGCAAATTTCAATTTCCGAAATTATTGTTACTCGAACATCTTGACTGTCATGTGCAAACTTTGTGATTTCAAGACATTTCATTTATTAGACAACAATAGTAATGTTTAATTAAAAATAATGCTGTTAGTTAAACATCAATGACGATGTGATAGTATCCTATCCACAATGTGAATTAACTCTCCTAACGTCTATGATATATAACCCCAACGTGTCATTAACATATGGCCACAACCAGAATCAAGTCGAAGCTTTTTGCTGTCATAAATTGTCCTCTAACTTTTATATAGATAAGATAACATCAAAAAGGAGACCCTGGTCACGTTTTGATGCGATAAGAAAAACACAGTAGCTGATACAAAAAAACCGCTGCCTATTGAGTAGACTGAAATACGTCATCCGTCATTAACAAGTCAGACCATGAATATTGATATGTTAATGCAGCTCTAGAATACAAGTTGCACCTGTCACAAATTTGGGAAATTGTATATAATAAGAACAATGACTGAAAATTCAGAAAAAATCAATGCCCATGCACAATGTACTGCATTTTTTTATAACATAAGCCATTTGGTTTCTCCATCCCTGTACAAAATTCATGTATTTATAGAACTCGCTAAATGCCTTCAACATTAACATTATGAGACTATAATCAAAATATAAATCTAGGTGGTTTTGGCAGTAGATTTCAGGTCAGAAAAAACCCTCTTGTACCATTCTGGATCTTAAGTCTTCCCCGCGATCACATTTCCCTGGGTAGATTTTATGTTTCACAAGGTTACTTTTACTTGGCCTTATACTTCAGTCTGTGAATTTTAGAAGTATGTTTTTTAGCAGTAAACTTTAAGTATTGATTTCTCGCATTGATTATTTTGAAAAGTCAGTATATCTTTGAAAATCAACTTTATGTTAACATAGCTAAACGAGAAAATGTTGTAACCATGACCACATCCATAGCAACCAACTAAAAAAAACTTGCATGTCATCATGAATCGCTTGACCAATAGAGTTCACGACTCAAACAATTCAGCAGCCGCTCATTAACATAAAACAAGCATAAAATTGTTTTTGCATAATAACAACAAGGTTGACAGTTTATTGGGCATGAAAAATAATGGTGTCACCTTGCAACAATTACCACACACATAGCAAAAACCTTATATTTCCTGAACCACGAGACCGACTACATTTCTACTGAAGAGTTCCCAACAACCAATACATGTACAGAGCGAACACTCAGAATACAGCTTTTTTTGCATGACGTTAATATGGTATAACACTTCCTTGAATTTCGAACTCATAATATTTTGTTAACCTTTTGGCCATAACATTTGACATTTCACTAATGGCAATATTTATTTATTTATTTATTTATATATTATTGTTTACTTCTTCAAAATACTGAGTATTAAATCGCATATTGGTCGCTGAATTGACTAGTCACCAATGAACGAATCTTAATTAAGATATAATAATCTTATCGGTAAATTTGTCAATTGCAACACATGCAAGTTCATAATGATACGTGGAAGGGTATTTAGAACTCAACCAAATGCGTCATAAGTCCACACTCGCCGCTCTCCACCAGCATGCCTTCTTGTTTACTGTTATACTGTCCGCACCGTACTTGGCACTGATGGCGCACATTTTCTTCCACACCACGTCGGCAAAGAGACACGAATTCTTTGTACATTTCGTGGGCATCTTCCTTGTTGACATTATAATGGTAGGTCAAATGACGTTTCTTGCGAATTCCGCCGAGTGTAGATTGTGGAACTATCAACACGTCGCCTGGGAGCTCCAGAACTGACACACGACTACCGTGGGCGTCTTTCAGGTACCTCACATGTAAAACAACATGAGCTGAAAAGATAACAAATATAGACACACGTTCATTTTAATAACAAGCCCCAAATAATATTGTTATAGTGCCAGTTGTGAAAACCCTCATGTATTCAGTTGTGCGATTAAAAGTGCGTTTCACTGTATACAATTTGTTGAAAATGAAAACAGTTTAGGTATACCTCCCAAATAAATAAATAAACTAGTAGATAGGTAAATAGTTACGCTAATATACTCGTAGTGCCGACCTCGAGTACATGCATAATACGATGTAAAAATAACATAACATTATATACTGCTGTACAAACTAAATAGTACAACACACCAAATTAAGTGCGTGTATGTATGTACATAATGCTCCTAATTGCATTGCCTGCAGGAGAGTAATTGTGGCTAAAGCAATGTTCCCATCAAAACACACAAAAATAATTTAACTGAATACAGTAATAACGAATACCGTATACGGGCAACACAGTTCTATTCAATTGGCTAACCCAAACACATTAAGCCGAGGTCCTATTCCCCTTAAATAAAAAAATGGATAATATATTGGGATATATATTTAATTTAATCAACAAAATACTTATTGCCATGGCAATACCAGCATATAAATGTACACTAAGTACAAATGAAAACAAACATAAATGTCTGACGTAATATGCGCTTCACATTTTGATAACATCGTCATAACTGTACGTATTATAAGTAGTCATTTATTTTAGGATTTATTATGTACGTAGCAGGGTTCGTTGGAGCGTAAAGGTCAGAACATAATAAACAGGGGATACACGAATAACATGATATCGACTCCACACGCGTACAAATTACAAATGATTGATAAATTGAGAGTATTGTTATCTGACACTTATAATGACAAGCAATTAGTTATATCAAGTTATACCTCAGTCCCTCCACCGATGTTAAGGGACTGTGGTTATACCACTGCAGATTCCCGCTGAACATTTGAACTTCCATTTGAGAGTGCGTGTCACGAAAGTTGTATAAGCCTACTCATATTTTTTGTTTAAGAATGCTGATCACCATAGATCGTGTGACAATATTTATTATATAAAATGGAGCTATTAACCCATGGTATCATTAAATAGCATTTTTTAGTGTCTTGCAGTGACGAATTTTGGAAATGTTCAGGACAATATCACAGAACACAATGTTAAAGAAAAATTCCATTTTGTATCTCTTTTTAAACACAGATTTTTGAAATAATCCAAAGCAGTAAAGAATACCCTATCATAACCAATATATGATTTTTTCAGCCTGTGTCACCAGCCTATGGTATAATATCTATAGAAACATACGGTAAAGGCGTTATAATACTGACAGAACACGATAACTGTTGTGACCATTATACCAACCCCAATTGATCCGCCTAGCCTTCAAGTGTATAGTGAAGAGCTATAAATAAAAGTTGTTTTCAGGTTACTATACACACTCATCCTAAAATGTCGCACATTGCTAACTTGGCAATCGGCGAGTTTTCGGTCATCGGCCACAGTTCAAGCATACGCTAATACTGGAGTAAAACAGCTCTTTGCGTTTTATTCCTTGTATTGTCACGGTCGCATTTCATTCCGCTGGGAATAGTTACACAGACAAGTATGTCCAGTGAAACGATGTATGCGCATTACGAACAGAACAAGTATTGTTGGAAACCCATACGAAGACTGTTATAACGCTAAACAGCAACTTTCAACTTCAATAATTGTCTACACCCTCCCAATATCCCTACTAATGCATAGGGCGTGGTCCATTGGACAGAACATCACAGCAAGTAGCGCACATACTTGTACAAGCCTTGCCGAGTTTGCCACCTTGTGAACATCACTACATTAACGAAACTACCAATCCCCGTGCACTTACATATTTAATTGATGACGTCCTGTACACTGACGTAGTTATCTTATAGAGTGCCGTGCTTCAAACCAAATTTACAGCACTCAGCATGGTACATCCAAGAATGGTTGAAATAAGAATCTTCTTGTCATTTGATCGTGCCATCATTATTGGTTTATTGGTTCAATTATTCTATAATAACTGAGCTTGAATTTTTGAATTTTTTAAAATTTATTTCGAACACAGTTACACCCAACCCATTTTCTTTGTTGTTCATTTGTCAAGTACAAAGTGAAGTTGAATAATATGAAGGCCCAAACAAAGAAACTGAAAAACTCAAGGATGACGCACAACTTACCCATTCGGTTTAGTAGTTCCTTTGAACATTCCTTCAGAAAACAGACGTATACTACAATGCCTTTTTTAATCTGTAAATATATATATATAAACAACAAATACATTATCAGTCGCTTGATCAGATCCAGAAGTCTTTATTCGTCAATTGAGATGAGTAGGGAGTTCAATAGTACAAACAATAGGAATGTATAAGCTTTGAATCCGTGGTGCGTACCACCTGCGGAGGGCAATCGAATAGATCAAATGCTTGTAGCGAAACTAACTTCGGTATATTTTAAAGCTATTCTTGAACGTTGCTACGTCTGTTATTATGGAATATATTCCCTCGCGGACCCTTCGAATAAACACACTCGTACGCAATATGTGTTCCATTCCTTTTGTCGAGTGTGATAAACACTACCACTATTGTTAGTGGCTACGTGGGAACCCGACAATATAGACAACGCCGCTGACGTATGTCGAGAAGTTCGTCCTTTATTCTGTTCATTATAATAGCACTCAAAGGAGGCGGTTTGGTTGTAGGTATCATGCTATACCGGGTCAAAGTACTAGTAGTCAATGTACAATTCAGGCAAAATTGCAGCAGAAGTTTTTTCTTTTAATTCCCTGACGGGCCTCGTCTGATAAGTTTAATTTTATAGTACTTTCTTTAGTAACATTTTCAAGTAAAAGAGATTCCACAATAGTGAGAAGGGAGCAAAGAAACGAAGGTAGTCCTCTGGGTATAGATGCATCGTGTGAATTTTGATGTGATTTGTGTAAATTGTACATTTATAACTAAGATATTTGTTTCTTATGCCAATATATGTGGAATATTTGACGCTTACCTCCACAAAGTCGACAGAACCACCTTCCACTGGTGATTGGAGTTGGACACGCGCCGAGACGCACTGCTGGATGACGATTCTCGCCTTGGATTCGATTAGGTCAGATCCTGGTATCGGCGAAAGTTGTAGGGTATCCATTGCCTCTGACATCAGTTCGACATGACATTCGACATGTAATAACAACAATACAGTTAATAATAATGATGATAGAGCGAGATACCAGTGAAGAACATAAGTCGAGCGGTCGGAGTACTCTGAAGTTATACACACAAACACCGAGAGCCCTTGGGACGATGGCGTTTACAACCTGTATGATTTGAAACACTGATTGGATGCGGTGACTGAAGTGTTTCTCGTGCATCCACTGATGTGACTAGTACTCTGTTCACGTGACAAATAACACTTTCCGCTTGCCACTTGATGAGTCGACACACCTTCGGCCTGTTACGCGTATATACATATCCCGCGGCAGCAGGACGACCGTTACGAGTTTAATACCCGAAGTCCTCTTGTTGTAAGTAACTGAGACGGCAAATGTTAGGCTAGGACTTAATGAAACGTGTGCGATCGATGAATACTAAGGTATTTCACAATGGAAAGGGTCGTGATGATGTTTCCGTTGTGAATGTGAGGTTCCGGGCTTCCGGACAAATTTATCAATATCGCGGCCTTGCGGTCTGATATTTACAAATGTATAAGGTATTGACGCAAACAATGTTTTTTATATTTTATTTATTCACACGAATCCTTTTTACTATTGTCCGCGAGTGCTGTGTTCATTTCCTTTTGTGTATATACTACATGACATAGATATCCTGATGCCCAAGGGACAAATGGGGGCAGTGGCTAAACGCGGACTGGCAGTTGGTGGCAAAGTCGTCAGCTAGCCAACCAACCAACCAGCCATCTAGTCAATAATAGTACATGTTGCAGAAGGAGACGTATACACATTACACAGGATTCTACTCGCCTTGACCTACCAAGACATATTGAACCGAACTGTGTTTTTATGCTTTTTATTAATACACTCAACGTTTAATAAGTGTTAAATGGTAATCTTCCTAGGGTTACCTATAAATGGGGTAAACCATTATTTCTCTGGAGGGGGGGGGGCTGGGCTAGAATCTATCAGTAAGCTTTGACATTGTCTGTAAGATCCAAGAAGCAGTCATCCCCATCAGGTAATAGTCCATCCGTCCATCCGTATTTATCGGCTGAATTCGTTGCCAACTAGAACATATTCTTTGTGTTCCACGCAATGTGACATAGTAAACGGTTATTTGTATAATTAGCGGTGATTGGGCATAATTTCGAGCATTTGATTCGTTGCATCTGTGAATAAATGCATGGCGGCCTGAACTTTCGATGCGACATTTACAGCGCAATGCTTTCGCGTTTATATTAAAAACGAAAGAAAATAGATATAAACTGAGCAGGCGCTTTTGTCTTGGGCAGCCCCGTTTACGGCTAAACTCGCTGGATATAGATCTATGATTACTGTAAAATCTGTATTAGAAGCTGTGACTTCTATTAAAATGATACAATGCAACAGAGGGGATGTGGCTTCTATTAGAGCACCTACACATATGAGAAATGATAAATTTTTGGTTCTCAATTGTTCAAAAAGAAAGGGTGCGACTTCTATTAGGGATGCGGCTTCTAATACAGATTTTACGGTACTTTCTCAATACCTGTACTATAGATCATGTGCAAATTGTTTTTGTTTTTTTTGACATAGAGGACAATCTTGAATGAAGGGTTTTTGATGTTGTTATTATGTAGAATGTCGCCAGACATAATCATAATTTTCAAATACTTTAATAAAAAAACATGCTATGTCACCATTTTGGCGGACTCGGTGACTTGTTCATGAAGATGGATAAGTTTGAACCGTATAAAACATCTATGAGCAAGCAGAATAGATCAGTCCTGAAGATAAATCACGTGTATAATGCCTGTCAGCACATTACGCCAGAGAAAAGAAAGCGAAGAAAGTAAAAGCAAAAAACTTTTAGGCGTTCTTTGTGGGCTTACCTAATATCTTAAATGCAATCAAACAAAAAATGAAGTTGTACTAAAGTACAAAAGAAGAAAAGAAAAAGCAATAAACTTTTATGGCGTTCTTTTCGGGCTAACATAATATCTTAAATGCAAGTAAACAAAAAATGACGCTGTACTAAAGTAAATAAAGTATGTTCAAAGTCTTCACTTTTCATAGCATAAAAACAGTTTTCTCCCTCGCTTGTTGTGACACCTTTGTCGTATTTTTTACTTGACTTGCTTTCCACACCACAGACAACAAGAAAATGTGTTTGCGCTAAAGTACTTTCAAGGTCCTCACTCTCCCATAACATAAATACGGTTTTCACCCTTGTTTACTAAAAGTAAAATATGTTTTGGGTACACCATCGCGAAAGCTGCTCATCGCGAAGTTACTAGTTGTATATTAAAAAAATACAAAATAAAATACTGTGACTTGACCCTTCACGTTTTGAATGCGACCAATAGTTGTGAGTTACACCAGGGAGGTAATAAACCTACATGGTCACAAGAAGAACACTTTTGTCAAGACTGAAGGCCCTGGCTAATTGTCTCTTGTAATTATAGAAGGAGGCAAGGAGGATAGCTGGTACAGGTTACAGGAAATAAAAAAGGCATTTTATGTTTTTACAGGAAATAAAATGAAAGTTCCATTTACAGTAAAAAATGGGTTTTTACACTTTACAGATAAAGCAAATTCCTAATTACATTTAACATTTTTATAATATATTTGATAATTTGTGTTTAAGAATCAAAATTGGAAATTGCGTACGAATTACGGTATTTAATGTAGAAAATGTGTTATACGCTTTACAAAAAATAAGATTTTTTGCACAAATTACGAAAGAATAAAATAGCTGATTACATTTTACATCTTGCCCATGTCTACGAATTTACGTTTTTTATTTACTTAAATTACATTATTACGAAACAACTGATTACAGCTTACGTAAATACCCCTTGCCGACCTTTATTATACGCACGCATGCGCACACACAAACCATTGTTTCATGTTGTATTTATCCAAACGCTTTTAAAAAAACGAGAACACTGTCTTGAAATATGACAATGTTAATTATAGCCAAAGTGCCTAATATGGCAGTCAGTGTGTGTTTACTCCGAGACTAGTAATGCTTATGGTATGTTGTATGACTTATTTTATATGGTTTTGTGTGGGCGTGCCAAATTAATTAAAAGAAATCCATCCATAATAAAACAATAAATCAGTCAAAACACGAATTATTCAATGAAAACAGTAACAAAACTGACAACTTTGAAAAAACAACTCAAATATAACAATACAAAAATCTTTAGACAAAATTCCTCAAATCTGCAAAGAAACTTCCGCGCATGGCAATACCAACAAAACGTGGCAAGTTTAGGTCGTGGGACCAGAAAGTCAAAATGCAATGACCATAAATTGCGATTAAAGAGATTTTGTCAAGAATAGTGGCTCATTACTTTTTAAGAGGTTCTCAAATACTTGACGAATTGTCGTCGAACTGTCATAGGTATATATGTATCACATCATGCATAATTCTGTTTTCATAATAACATTATACGAGTGATTGTTAGAGCATACATTTTGCAACTAATAATTAAACACAACAAGGCATTAATGTCACAGTTCCTGTATTTGAAAAGGAAATGTACAGCTGCAGTAGATATAATAAATAACTGCATAACGGTGGATACGTTTGACTGTATTGTATCATTGGAAAATAAGCTTTATTCATTTGAAACTTGCTCAGTTAGGACATCCAGGCTGCTAATATAGTGCATTGAAATATTAGAAAGAACAACCTACATAGACATTGAATCTGATCACAAGATCACATATTCACACCAATATGTCTTGACATTAAACATAATACCGGTCACGATACTAATTTCTATATGATTTATCATCACTGCATACGACTAATTTGCATATTCAAACTTGTTACATAAAACTATTTATGTTCAAATGTCAATCGGTTAAACAGATATTTTCACAGGTGTTAAGTTACATAGGTGAACAACAAGATGACAAATATTGAGCAAATACGACCATTTTGTCTTACTGGAACAAATTAAATAGAACACTTTAACAGGATATTTCCAGTTATTCTTGATTGAGAAATGGCAAGTATAAAGTAGCTCAAATTATCAGAAAAGGAAACACAATCGAGAGATAAAACTAAAAACATACATTAGTTGGTGACCAATTAACGTTAACTGAAGACGATATTTTTTTTATAAAGCATTGACAGGTATGTAAACAATAAAACATTTCATTTAAGATGCATAGAGATGATTAGTTCGATGCATTAGAAACAATACTAAACACTTCTTATTTATTGCCATAGTACTTCTTCTTTGCCCTATTTCACTGTGATTTGAAGTAATCTCTCATAAATTCAACCCTTCAATCTTTTCTATACTCTAGCGGTATTGCATGACTTTTCCTTTCATCTTGCCACCATATGACGAATACAGAACATTAATAACACTTTATGGTAGATCTAGGATGAACAATGTTGTGCCATCTTCATCTGTACTTAATTTTTTCTCATTTATGATTTGTTAGCCAGAAACAAGCAACCATATCTTAAACAGGACCATAACCTCTACTTACATCAGATTTTTGTGTTAAACTTGGTGTAGCATCTACCTGCCACAACTTTATTATGCAAATGTAATATTAACAATGTATAATTCTATAATGTATGTATACCAACTCACTTGACAGAAAATGATTGGTTAATTCCACTCTTAGTTGTTTGTACGTACGCAGGATAATGTACTTGTACATGCAGTCTTTCTGATATTAAATTTCACTCAGTATGATGTCAATGTGGTGCTACTTATCTGAAGATTGTACATGACTTTTATAGTGTCTCATTTACACAGATCATTGCAAGATTATAAAACACTGTATCTCTAGTGGGTTGTGTAGCTTCACTGTGCGACATGGACCAGAGCGCAACTGAACCTTAGATTCTCTATGCAAGTTATACTATAGATTCACAGTGTTGAACTAGATTTAAACAACAAACTATTCTACAATGTACTTATTTATAATAAAACTAGAAGTCCAATACATGCGTAAATGGTCCATTAGTAACAATACTAAGCACTTGTCTGTTGCCATAAGTACCCCACTTCACAACGCAGTTTGCTTCTTTGCTTTTTTTACTTTGATGTAAAGTATGTTCAATCTCTGTCACAAACTCTGTATAAAACTCCAACCCCTCAGTCTTTCCTATATTTGAGTGATATTGCATAACTTTTCCTTTCATCTTGCCACCCAAAGTCGCTTGTGGAACAATAAGAACACTTCCGGGTAGATCTAGAATTGACAGTGTTGCACCATCTTCATCTGTACTTAGCTTCACATTCATGATTGATTTGACTGAAAGATAACAATTAACCTAATTATTGATGCATGTGTTACTATTTTGTCGGTGTTGAGAGGTCACTTATTATTTGAATGGTGCTCATAATTCAGTAATATATTAATTAGTGCGATTATTATGCACAGAATCATTAACAAAATCTAATTAAGTGAGATATCTGTTATATCACTAGTATCTACCATTCACAAAGGCATAGCACGATTTTAACAAAAAAGTAAAAGATTTACCATGAAATACAATACATTCATTCACACATTTGACATTTTTCAAAACTAAAGGATTCCTTGCTAATGTCCACATAAGAAAACTGTGAAAAAAGGATTTAATGCATTTGAAATTGCCATTTAGAAAATGCTGGTGTGAGTTTTGTGCACTCATCGCGTATATGTATATCCATTCATGTGTATGGTGTGTGGCAGCATTTTGGTGCGTTTTTTATGATTTCTAAGCAATATTTTGACATAAAATTATTGTAAGTTGTTTGTGCGTATATTTTAGATTATATATGATATTTATGTTGAAAGGGGTGAACCAATGTCACAAATTTTGCCTTTCGTCTATAAGTCTGGAGCTCACTTCTATAACAGTCTTGTTAGACTTGTTAGCCTTCAGGCATTCAATATATAAGTGGAAATTGTCTTCTGTCTGGAATTCTAGCGTGACATGTCAAACCAGTTGTCAAGTCCTAAAACGATCATTTATGACAGCTATTGTAGATATGCAAAATATTAACAAGTATAAACAAAATATGATATTCTGTAGATAACAATGGTAAATAAGATGTGTCAGACACAATATTTATTTATTCATAAATGCTAAAACCTTGGTTTTGTAGTTCAAAAAAGATGACTGGTTGAATGTATAAATGTGTACAACGAGTGTAAGATACTAGTATATGGCATCAGCCCATTATACCAGAGAGCCAGAGTATGGAAATAACACATCCAAACATTACCCAGGGAAAGTACAAGTTCACAAACACACGAGGTCAAATCAATGAAAGAATTGTACATAAACCCCATGGTATACAACCAAACGATGATGTCAGGTGTTAGAATTGAAAAATATAGAATTTGTCTTCTCTGTACCTTTTTGTTTTTAATGTAACATCATATGAATAAATAAATAAATTGACAAGCATGGGAGCACAAATTGTTTGGAATTGAATGCCAATACATTATTGAGAAATATATACCATTTGGTGATGCACTATGTAGTACCACAGTCTCTCCATGGCTTATACAGGCACTGTGACACAGTATGGTATCTCCGTAATGAAGTACCCTTGGATTTTACCTACCCATTTTCTGTATAATATCCTTGGTGGCGCTCTTCATAAAACATACGTATACAACTAAACCTCTGGCGATCTGGAAAAAAACGAAGTAACGAGTTCGAATGCACAGCAACAAACAAACAAGAACCAATTGAAAAAAATAATCATTGGATTATCTATGATTATCAATTTATCTATGACCCTCTTCACTGCTATATCAGCTGCATAGTATCCTTTTTATTATTCGGTGTATGTCATAGCTGGCCTTTATAGCGTTTCACCTCAAAATACGCCCACGAACACGTCAGATAATCAGAAGTTAAAAAACAATTGTCAGTCGCTATAATGGAACCACAGCTAGTAAGCCATTTGTACAATTGTGATTAAAAAGTATTATTCTTAATCTTACATCATCTTCATCCTACCTCTACAAATTCGCCAGGAGTGTCACCCTCGGGTGGCTTCACTTGTAATCGCGCAGACAAGCATTGTTGTAAAATAATTTTTGCCTTCTGTCCAGTTTCAGTCATAATTTAAAATAACAACACCAGTAAACGTTGGTACTAGTACGCCAATGAACTACAGCGTTGTAACAAGGTAAACAGCTGTAGAAAAACACTTCCGCGTTCAGTGAAGTGGCGTATTTCGCGTGACTTTGAAAAACTCGCAAAATGCGAGACCGGCTTGTGCTGCCAATGATCAGGAAGTGACCCTGCGACCTGAGAAACTGATTATACGTACTACAAACGGCGTGGTGGAGATGACGACGACTGGTGGTACTGGGTTTGGCGGAGTCGGACACGGTCGTAGTAGAAAAGCACCTCATGCAGATGACGATGAAGAAGAGGATCCAGTAGAAACGTTACTTGATAAAACAGGGTGTGCAAAATACCACTACGCAGTACAGGTAAGCCACAGAACTCTATGCGAATCCCCCTTGATTCTGGCTGCTGGCCATTTTCGTTCATGAAATCGTCGGATATCATCAGAAAACGCGGGATTTGTGCAGTTTTGAATAAAACCAAGTTAGCGATTATGAGCAATGGTTATTAACGTAACACCTGATCCCCTCTAAAAATTTTGTTTCGCATTTTAAGGTAAGAAATCGACATTTGAAACCGACAGGGTGTCGATTTACTCGGTGCCGTGTTTCACAACTTGTTTATTTATATACGTATAGCGGATGATTTTTATTGAAAATTAGTATTTATTGATTTTCAGCCCCCAAGTGACTGTGAGGTAAGTCCAAACACGGAGCTCCCTCGGTAAAAATGATATGTGGCAAATAATAATAATAATAACTTTATTAACTTCTACTCATTCCCTGGGGGGGGGGGGTGATCACTAAAATACACATAATAAGGTATTAAAAGTAATAAACTATGATAAAATCACGTGACTTGAGGCACAAACAAAAATATTGTCACCCCCCCCCCGTTTCCTTCGTTTTTACACTTGTTTATAAAAATGTCAATTCCATTTTACCAAATTACAAATTCCAATAGTAAATATTTTTTCAAGATCACTATGTACGATTTTCTGTTGCGTCAATGACACGCCGGTTAATTAGCACAGCTAATTGTGACACAGCAAATCTTTTTGCATCAGTTGTGATCTATATCTCCTTAGAGGGCGCTCTCCAATCCAAGACAGTATTTGCTGTGATAGTGTTTGAAATTATATATAGTCTGGGGCCCAGGGCTGGATTTTTGAGCGGTGTAGCAACCCCTTATGTAAAAAGCAGCAACCCTGATTTTATTTTATAGTACTAAGTACTATAAATAGACCATTACCCAGAAATCGAATATACATGCATGTGCATGCTGGGTATGGGTGAAATGTAAGCATACACATGTGATATTGTGCTTCTAGGTGTACCAATCAACGACACAAAAATCAAATTCCCTCCTCATGAACATCAGCAAACCAACATGTTTTTATTTTCCGCCATGACAAAGAAGGCGTAATTCTGCACCCCATCTAGCAAATTTGTTTCATCTAAATGTCAAGCTACTCCCCCCATGGTTTGAAATGGTTGATCCCTTGATAAATTTAGGCTTTTCAGTAGTTACATTTGTATACTGTTTAAGTTAGTTATATTGTTTTAGTTCATTTAATATCAAATAAAAGTTGTTATGTCATCTTAGTTCAGAAAGTGATATCTCTATGTGTTTGTTTATTAGTGCAGCATCTCTTAAAAGAAAGTTGTAATCTCCAAGAAGGAATAGTTTATCATGGCCTCATTCATAATAGATTCTGGATATTTGTTGGTGAAATAAACAACATTATTGTAAAATTCTTTATTTCTGCAAGAATTAATATTCACATACGAAGAATAAAAGGCCAGATAGTGCTACTCTATTTTCACATTCCCTTTGTTCTTTTGGTATATAGATTTCATTGTTTTTACGCATTGTCAAATAAAAACAAATATTTTCACACTAAATTTTAACAGTATTTCAAAATTTGTTTTCATTGAAGTACTGTGAAACACTAATCACTGTAACATCAACAGCAAAATTGCAATGCAATGGGCATTCACCGCTATTCTGATGATCGGTAGCTGTATATTCAGTGTCTGAATACATAAATGTAGAATTGAAAATATAAATAAAAAAAATATCCTGGAAATTACATCAAAATCGACAATAAGCTGTCATCTTGGTTACTTCAAACATATTCATTCTTGTTACCCAGCATGCATTATTTACAATGTCACAACGTGAGTTGTGTTGCCATGATCAGGATTTCTGGTACTAAAAAATCCAGAGGTCATTTTATTTATTTTTCTTGTCTGCAGTTGAATAAAAACTACTGCAATTTCCTTCAAATGTAACTACATTTCAAATTTGTTTTCTTTCCATTATAATTTATGTTACCAATTTGTGCTACTCAACAGTAGTAAAGACTGCAAAGAACCGTTGTGCAGCAAACTGAAATAGTTCTTCAGGGAGTATGGTGCATAATTGTGAGATTACCGGGGTAGTATTTGTTGCCACACTAATAAGCAAATCATGACTCAGATTTAGACACTGCGTCCCTGAAAGTCTTGTTAACTTCTTGCATACTCCCATTTTATTACTGTCTTTGTATTGCTAACTATAGTGAATTACTATTCAATCAGTGCATGTTATTGTTTCAAAATTTGTGGCAGATGTGACTGACACTTGTAAAAAAAGGAATTTAAGCATCATGGACTGAATTTGAAGCGGGGAGTGTCCTAGCATCAAGAGACCATTTTAATATACCAATTTATATGCAAAAATTGAGCAAAAATAAATAATATTGACTTACTATATGCAATTGATAAGTAAATATTGTTAGATTCCATTCTGACCTGGAGTGAAAAGTGTTTGTTAAATAACCAAATTGTACATTTTTGTAGTCATATAAATAAAAAAACAAATTTTGAATTCTGATTGGCAGATAGAGTAATAATCATCAGAATTTCTTAATGATTTTTGACAACCATCTTGTAACTATATATTATTTTTACATCACATAACCAAACAAAATATATTGAAACAGACAGGCCAGTAACCTGTACATTATTGAAGTCATTGAGCACACTATTTGATTAAAATTTAATATCCATATTTGGTCATGTGACTTCATTAAAAATGCATAACTATCATAACTATTTCAGGCATTCAACCAGTGCCTGTAATAAAGATGCTCGGTTGGGGGGGGGGGGTGTCTGCCATTTCTGGCTTTCTTGTTAAAATAATGAAAATCACACACAGATTCTCAGATTTGAACTAATTTGATCACTAAAATATATTCCCTGAGGTGTAAAAAACAAAAGAGACAAAGAAGGTACTGTATCCATGGTGATAATTTATTTTATACGAATATACGGTTTTGGGATTAATGAGCCAAACCACCCCAGGTTATCAACAACATGAAGCGTTTATAACAGCAACATTTTTTTGATCATATCCTAATTATTTTGCATGATCATAAACATACATCAAAATCTTGTAGACATTTTTTTTGTCAGAGATATAGCTGAGTCTGTCAATTGAATATAAATACCCAAATGTACATTCTTTAGAAATGTACAGGGTTAATGAGTAAATTGTCCCCATCTTGATAGTTACTCATTCTAACTGTATTGATGTTTTTTTTATTTCTTTGCAGGATTGTATGTTTGAAAACAAAGACTGGAGAAAGTGTCAAGCAGAAGTTAATGAGTTTCGTCAGTGTATCATGAAACAACAAACAAAAGACACGACTGGAAAGAAATCATGACCATTAATTCCAGAGTGTATCTTGAGTCAGAACAAATTATCTTTGATGCAGGTCCTTGACAAATCTAGTTGTGTTAGTGTGTGTATAATGCAGATTGCCAATATTAAATTTTTTTCCCAACCTCCAGTTTGTATACATTTCATGGGACTTCATTAAATGCAACATGGTGCACCACATTAATAACTACAATTTTACGGGGCGAAATAAACTTTTTTAGGAATTGAAAAAAAAATAAATTCTGCTGTGAATAGCTATGTTCAACTTCTGCACATCACTGTCAAAGCTATTGATAATCTTTGTGTTATGACAGAATTCCTATTCAAATTTTAGAACTGGACCAGTCATATCCAGAGTCCGCATTTTCTGAATGGTTTTCATTTGTAAGTAGCCCTTGTACATGACCCAAAAGGTCACACATCCTGGTAATTTTTGGGTGTGTATTGTTATTCTATGTCAGCAATCAAATATTATCTGTCAGTTTCTGTATTGTTAAATTTGTTTGCATTGTTAAAGAATAGAGAATTTCAGATCCTGTGTGGCTTGTTATATATTAAAATGCTTGCAAACCAGAAAAATATGATTACATACAACCAGTATGTCTATCCAGCCATCTATCCGTGTTTGTTTGTTCAAATGTACACAGTCATAACTTGAGAACTTGCTGACGAATTCTCTTGGAACTTGCTGTTAGTCATGGTTCTACAGTTCTTTGTGCAAACAACTCACCTATAAATGTAGGTCCATCTGTCCAAAATACTAATATATTTACCATTGTTTACAAATTTCTCATCATCTGCCCTTCCTGTTATACTCGCTTAAACATATAGTAAACTGCACTAGCTAAAAGTTTTGTTGTTCAAATGCAGCAAAAATAGTATCATTGTGACATTCACTGAATTGTTTGTATAAATATGGTTCAATGACTTTATATAGAATCTTCTGTGGTTTTAAAGGAACAAACTGTCTACAAAGTTGTTCCCATCTACAATGTTTGGGAATTTCATAAAGACACAGACACTTATTCAAAACGTGTTATTTTTTATTTAAATAGAATACATCAGCTTGCCTCACTACAGAAAGATATATTTAATAACATTAGATTGCACACACTGCTTAAAAAATAATTATTAGCAAAATTTACAAATATAGTAGAAAACAATATAAATTTAATTAGGGTTGAAATTCACAAATAACCACATAGAATCAATATCTACAAAAAAACATAGTATTACTATTACAACATCAGTAGTAGTGTAAATCGTACCACCTGTCAAAATTAATTGTTCCCCTCAAAGTATGCTTAGATATATCGCTGTACTATTTTTGAACTTTTATACAATTCTCGATGGACATGATTAATACAGTACATTGTTAACATATAAATTTTAGCCAGTATTTTTCCATGCAAAATGTTTAGATAAATTATTGTTGTTAGACTTGATATTCTCTTTTGCCATGCAAAGAAATTATCACACATTTTAGTTTGTATCCATTCATTCTTTAATCTAGGTTCTCAATGGGCAAGATTGTAATAGTTATGCTATGTTACCAACGTGTAAGTGTCTGAAAAACAATTCTACATAATATCTTTTATAAAAATAAACACCACAAATACAAAGTGGTATTTCTATAATCAGTACAAATTTAAATCTGACATGAATGTTTTACATGAAGCAGTTGTGGAACAATTTTTGTCCCACCTCTAGTATTATTGAATAAACTATATTAGTCAAGACACAATCTAATCCCAGCTGAAAACTACATTGATTTTTCTACATATTTAAATCGTGCTGTCACTTCAACATACTGATCACAATTGATCTTGAAATACATCACACATTCTAGCCATAAATATAAATTTTTTATGAAATAATTGAGCACTTTTTCAAAGTCTGTATAAATATATAAGTACCTTTTTGTTTATAAAATATTTAACTTCAATTAATTGAATACCATTATTTGTCAATAGACTGGCAATTATCACAATATAACAATTAAATGGGATGCATGGAATCAATTATTGCTGCAATGTTGATGTATATATCTATGGCTGAACAATTTTGCTGCCCAAATGATAAAACAGGCTTATTTTGATCAGCTGATAAAGACGAAAGAGACGGTTGCTAAATAGGAAGCGATGAAGTTGAATACATAACTTCACACTTCACTAGAGGATATGCAGAAAATCTTATCAAGAGACGATGAAGACATTGCTCAATAAAATACTGAAATTAGAGGAAGAAAACTTAGGTATGGGATAAGAGTTGATGAGCTTGAAAAAATACAATCATCTTGGGTCTACCAGTCCAACCATTAAAGAAAAGATCGTGCACCTCAGTTTTGCTGAGATTAAATATTGAAAATACAAAAATAATTTGCTTTTTTTAGAAAATCAGAAATTATGGCAAGTTGTTCAGAGACAATATCACAGCGACCTGGAAATTTATAAATAGTATTGTTAACATGTATACATATTACCCATTATTTTTCAAAGAATTCCAAGTGAGGAAACAATGTTATGAGGCATAAAAAAGGTATTGCTGATTGCTTTGATATAATTTCACTAAAAAAATTACAGTGTGAAATTGATTTTAATTTTAGACCTTATGAATGACACTGTTCTTGATTCAATATTTTAAATGCTGTGATTATTGAACTAAAATGTTGTTTAAGCTGACACTCATAAGTGTATCATTATGTAATTGTTCATTTAGTTCTGGTATAATTCCAGATTTAATGAAAATAGCTAAGGTCACTCTAGTCTTTATGTCATGCAACGATAAATTATTTTCTAATTACAGACCAATATCATTATTACCATGGTAGTTTTCTAAGATAGTTGAGAAATTGTTTAACGACAGATTAATGAATTCTATTGACAAACATAAGATCAATATGGTTTTAAATATATGTCTACTGTCTTGACTCTGTTAAACTTTATCGCAGAAATTATGCCATTTATAGACTCTTCTATGTACATGTATACTGTTGATGTTTTGTATTGACACCATAAACTATAAAATTCTGGTGCAGAAATTGTGTAACTATGGTATTATTTCTGTAATAGGCAACAGGTATGCAACAATGGTATTAACCTTTTCACCACTAGACATCATCGCCAAAATTTCTCTGCACTTGTTTCTTGTATTCTTCAATATTTCTGGAAATAAACCCTAATATTGAAGCTAACAGACAAAATTTGCATAAATTTTTTTTTTACTCAAAAGATTTTGCTATTTTTGTCCCACTCTTCTGAAGCAAAGTGCAGGAATATTTTGTGAATTTGTAATGAAAAGGGGGAACTGGTGGTGAACAGGTCAGATCTTAAAAATTCAAGCCATGGTGTGGCTCTAGGTTCAGTCACTGGATCTTGGTTAATGACATCTGGAATGTATCTCTAAATGTTAAAGGTTATTTTATAGGCATATCATTGTATTGTATTTCCATTTGGTAAGGATTTCAAAAAAATATGTGAAACTATATCTAGACAATTGAAGGAGTTACACTCATGGTTTATGGCTTACAAGTTATCAATGAATATGCAAAGCAGATTGTCAGCTGGGCCTCGCCATTTTCAAGAAATCAAAAATAGCATTTTTTACCAAAAATGACAAAAATATTCACTAAAATTAGAGAATTGAATGTATGAAATGAACAAATCTAAGGTCAACTCAAGGCGTCTAAATATAAAATATCAAGATAATCGGGCTAGTCGTTTCCAAGAAGAAGAAGATAATAGCACTTTTTATCAAAAATGACAAAAATATTCCTCAAAATTAAAGATTTTAAGATATCAACACAAAGTAAACAATCTGAGAGAGATGTACTCAAGATACATAAACACCAAGTATCAAAGCCAGTAGACCTGCTATTTTCAAGAAGAAATCAAAAATGTAGTTGATTACTACGGACAGTAATATTAATAGTTCAGCTCTGTTGACAGACGAGTTAAAAACTTTATAAAAATGTGAATAATGTTAACCCAAATAGGTACATTAAATGACATTAACACAAATACAGTATATCCTTCAAAGTTTCTGGGATTGAAACAGACTGTAAATTTGAGTGGAAAGAAACAATATTCAGATTAAAATTGCAAACAACTTGGACTCTGGTAAACAAATCTGTATCTAACCTTCTAATTACCATATCTGACATATTGCTTTGACATCTGATGTACTGTAATACCTATAAATCTACCATTAATTGTTTATTCTTTAATCAAAAAAAGGGGTACCTAAGTACATACAAAGCCTGAATTATGCTGAATCTTTTACAAATACATGTACCTAGCACTAGGCAGCCCCTAATTTTTTTTTTTTTATAAAATACAAGACAACCCTATGTGCATCGTGCATCATGTTTTGGTGTTAATTAAGCTCTGGAATATCAGAAATGATATAGCAATAGTCTTATACAGTTTATAAAAGAGTATCAAAAATATTTGTTTGATATTAAAATGCAAAACAACTGGAGTAAGTATTTATTACAACAATTAATTCGTTATTATTCATTCATAACAATTGTCTAAGTACCAGCTTGGTTGTGTTAGAATAAAATAAGAAGAGAGAGCAAATATCTAGAAGCTTTGCTTTTTGTTGCCTCCTCACCCTTGCCTACCAAATTTGTATTCAGTCATGCTCAGCATGTTCATTTTCTTACCTTATGCATTATTATATATGTATTGTTGGTTCAAACATAAAATATATTGTTATAACCAATTACAATGACTGATGCATATCACATGATCAGTATAAACCATTTACATTTCATCACCATCATGTGTACCAACCACTCATATTGATTCAAATAGATGACTGTACTTTTCCAATAGAGCTCTGTTCTCATCACCTGCGCTCCCAAGTTTGAAATAAACAGAGCTTCTTGTAGGCCAAAACAAGAATGCCATCACAATATTAGAAATAAAGTCGGCGGTTAACATCATAGCTGTGAATAGAAGCAGAATGCAGAGTTTTTACCAGAACAAATATTGATAAGTCTGATATATTCACTAATACATCACTGTTTATATTTGGGCATTAAGGGACGTCATTACTGTTCTCTATCAGATGATAAATATGTTGTACATCGATCCTGAATCTATGTAACATTGTAAAACTAACTTGGTTAACAAGAACAAAATCCTGCAAGATAAAGCACTTGAAGTATTTTATTATGACTAACTCAGATTTTCATCTACGTTCATACACATTCCGCCGTTCCAGTGTTTTATACTACTAGTATTCACTGTTCTGGACAGCATTGGCAGTAGCGCCTCGGATTACACACCTATTATTGATACATCAGAACAACAATAATTAAATGAGGAGTAGTTTCAAAGTGAGATAGTGAATTCTGACTTGCCTGATACTGTTCTTTGTCTCCATAATGCGGATGTCTGCGATATGATTAGAACGGTCAGCGGCAAGTAAATGAACCATATGCTGTAACCTACTCCAAACCAACGATAAAAACGCAGTTTGGCCTCTACATATTCTTGCTTGCATGTGGATCTCAACTCCATCAAAAACCATACTAATATGATGCACCTCAATGACAAAATCAAAGCACCAGGCCATGATTGATATTCGTTTAAATCTGAAGTCGGATCAACAGCAACCTGTAACGATAAACAAAGGAAATACAACTCCTAGTGTGACATTGAGAATAAATAATTGTATTTTTAAAAGAGTACAACCTAGTTAACTGAATATTAGCTACGTCCACATTACAAGATCTTAGTATGTGGCAAATATATTGTTACTCCTTCAAAATTACACATTTAAACCATTTCGAAACTGGATTTCAATCATGTGTGGATGGATTTGGTTTACACTTGGTACATATATTGAACACAATAGGATCTTTATGCACATAGTTTTCACATTGAGTATAAAATGACTGACTGGCGATCATTTTGTTTTAAATAATGCAGTTCCAGATCTATATATCTGACATGTATGAGTGATCAAGTATAAACTTCACACTTCCTTCAAAATCTGAATCAAGTGTGCGAAATGGCAGGCAAAAATGAATCAAAATGTGTGATTCTAGAATTGATCTCAGTTATATGTGACGGGTTTTATTTTATTCAAATAATGCATCTTTGACAATACCAATCAATCTCAAACTTCAGGCATACATCAGACATGATATCAGTAAAACAGTTGTGCATTATTGTCATAATCAAATAAAAAATTACTGACTGGCGACTATCGTGTTTAAACGACTGCAGTTCTATGGAGCAACATCTCATACATATCGGTCGATATTATAGATATTGCCCTGGTAGTCGTGCAATATTTCCTGCCTATAGTACCAACGGGGACTATGTCATTGACAATGACTTGTTTTCAGCTTGTGCTGACTCGGTCCCAACCATTCACACACACACTGTAATATGAGCAAAACAATTGATGATCATTGGTATAACCAAACTGTGTCATCAATTTTGCTGTGAACGAGTTCTACTCGTATATTAATATATAAAATGTTCAGATTTTTTTATTGCTTAACAGTCATTGCACTTACCATCTGCCAAATGAAGAGTATACCATAGAGAAGGCAATAAATGGCCCAAACAATCAACATAAATCTCTTCTGCGTAATGACCATTGTGGTGATAGTCCAGCCCTTGGCTATCAATAACAGCAGCAGCATAAACAAACACTGTGTGGCCATGTCTAACACATTACCAAGCTGTAGAATGGCATCAATTCCAACACCATCTTGCGAGTACAGGATAAGATGTATAAATATAAGTATGATGCTGGCAAACTGTATATACATACACAGAGTGAAGACCTTGACAATGGCGTGCATCTGTTTGGCATGTGCCACGGTGTGACACAACAGAAGCGGTATATATAAGATAGCGAACGCCAAGTACAGTCCCAAGATTCCTTGCATTGTAAAAGAGAACTGATAAAAGAGTAAATTGTTGTCATCCAGTGGATTGCCGTTCACGAGCCAGATGTCGTAGTTGATGTAGATATCATGATGAGGCATGTGATACCATGTACATTGTTTTGCTCCCTTGCTTGTCCAGTTCTGATAACAAGATACCATGCTCAGATACCAGAATCTGTTTATTTAAAAAAAAAGATTTTTTTTTTAATTTAACAAAATAAAATACCCCAAAATGCAAGTTTCTTTATGTGCACCAGTAGTTGATGTAAATTTGCCATAGTTGTTACATTTTTGAAACTGATATATATCATAAACACAACAAACTATTTCCTTTATAAAAATCAAAAATTTCTCAATTCAAACTGAAACAAGGTTTCTATTGGCCGATGGAATAACATTGAAACATTTTCAAATGACGTCAATGGGCACTCACATCTCTCACTGATTGGTAGGTTGGATTCAACTGCCATGGAAATTTATAAATATTTATGAAAATGAAAGAAATGAGTTTGTGGTGTCCATAGTATAAAAGAGGCTTAAGATAAAATATAAATGATGAATATCTATAATATGCATGACTTTGGACTCTCCTACTACGTAATTATCAGCTATGAAATGTGCATCACATACGTCACACAGTACGTGTTCGAATTTCTTGTTGCAGTATAAATAAAATAGGTTTTTGAATTGCGGTTCCTCACCTCCTTTGCTATTATCATCTGTTTCAGATCCCGAATATTGGTTTCTCAGGATTTCTAATAAATAATCTAACCATAGGACTGAATTCATGTTTTTTTTTTTTTATTCATAGAAGATTGGTTGTTTTTGGCCTCAAATTTATTTTCGCTCTGATACACAAGGGCGATAAGACTATTTTCAATGACACAGGTTGTTTGGGTTGAATGATTTCTTTTGTTATGAGTTGGCCATATATCTTAAAACATGTCAACATTGTTTTTTTGTGGATACAGAAATTCTTCCGTTTGAAATCAGCATTTTTAATATGAAATCAGCAAATTCCAACAATTATTTATTGAAACTACCATCGTATAAATAGTCTTTGACTCTCCAAAATTAACAATTATATATTGTAATAGCCCTAGACTAGACATCCTGTCATAGCATCTTCGATTGTAGCCACGTGCATCATAAAATTCACTCGAGTGTTTTAAGAATAGCAAGAATAAAGGCAAATACAATGGAAACACCTGTTACATCACTCATGGTGATCAATGATTCCATAGATAATTATAATAATCCAGGGTTTATGAATTTATGTCATTGAACAACAGTATACAAGTACTGGATACAATATACTACAAACAAATATACCAACCATTGAACTGTACAGAAGTCATATAGGAAATTTACAAGTACAAAAACATAAACGACTGGCAACAACTGTGAACTTTAAATCTCATTTATTAAGATTCCTACATGAAGTTACAAATATAGGAAAATTGATGCGCAATTATAGAAAGAGACAATAATGTTTTATTTTGTCCAGGATGTAAAATAAGTGTTTTTGATGGGAATTTTGTGAGTGTCCTAAAATCTGTACACCCATTAAAATTAGCAAAACTTCAAATGCAAAACATGCAAAGTTAAACAAAATTATCAAGAGTGATTTTTGTTTTCTTAAAAAATAGACCTAAATGCTGTGACATCTAATTGGTGGTGGGAAGGGCAAAAACGATTATAAAATGTCTATATAATTGTAAACAAATGTTTTCGTGAATATTACTGGCGGCGAAAGACGGCCTTCGCGAAGTGTCTAGTGAATAAATATTGAAAACACCGCGGAGCAACGACTCACACTGTGCAGTTTCAACCACACATGATCAACGATACGTCACAACATATTATATTGATTTTATTTTCGCTATTTTCACTGAAGGGGTGATACAGTGGAATACAAAATCAAGCGAATATACTAGTACCTTTTTTTTTATATATTTCACATTCAACTTGTCAAAAATCAGCGAAATTAAATTCCATACAAAACACCTAAAAAGTCTTCAGTTTCAGCAAAAATTAATTCCAGCTATTTTAAAAGTACATGTATTTTACAGTACAACAAATAAAAACGACACAAACCTGGGAGATTTGAAGTCTTCAACGCGAATAGTAAACTGGTATCCTGGTATAACGTCTCTTCCTTTACTTCTCCCATACTCGTCGAGGCACAAACCACGTTTGGGACATGGAACCGTCCGAGTCAAATCCAATGTTGCATTTTGAAGGCACTTCCTATCGTACGCCACTTTACCGATGTATCGAAACATATCGATACAGGCTTGTCGTTCAGGCAGTATGTTAACTTGTTCACTGTAATCGGCCCAATATTCCTGGTCTAACGCGACAAATTTCAGATCCGATTCAATTATTCCAGAACTTTCTAATGTAATATTTCCGAATATGTATCCTGCGGTCGCTATTCGTTCTTCGGGGTCTGTCTCCTGAAAAGCGAATTTGGTAATGAACTTGTAAAACTCGTCGGTTTTATACTTTCCTTTAACGTGTTTCGCATAACATGGATGTCCAAAACACAGGCATAGCACGAACAAAGTCGATACAGCTGCATGGACACTGTGTTTGTTAGCAAGAGAAAAATTCCGTCTGCGTCTGGCCGCCATGTTTGGTTATGTATAGAAGTGTACCCGTCATGCTTTGCGTATGTCAAACTCTCAAAACTAGGGGACAATTAAAAAGTCTCTGGGTCAAGTACACAATCGGTCAAGGTTGTTGTCTTTTGCTCGCCTACAGCTGTGTCCATGTTGTTATTTCCATAATTATAATCACAATAAATGCGAGATAATCCAATAGGGGTGTGGTGGCGTAGCAGCGGAAAATAAAACATATGGGGCGTAAATCTCTCTGTACCCGTGCAAATAAATAAGGGGAGGACCATTTGATATCCTGAGGGGGGGGGGAGATTTTGTGAATAAAAAATTCTATGACAATGCTTGAAAAAAAATCCTACACTATATTCATGTAAAAAAAAAAAAAAAACCTGAAACTTTCAGACCCCCTGAAAAAAACACGTAAAAAAATAAAAAAAATAAGGAATGATTTTTATTGATCTTTTCCCTCAACAATTTCATCAACCATGTTGCTTAACAGTTCGTTCACAATGACTTTCTGCTGTATTTCTGTATAAACTGTCTCTAACAATGCATTTATTATCGATGGGGGTGGTGGATTGACGAACATCTCACCGACTGAGGGCAGTATTGCATTAGCTGACTAAATACGTACTAACATATATATCATTCCGTGTTAAAATATTTCAGGTATGATCCCGATAGAAGTAAACACGGAAACAATATTGGAATACGAAACTGATTACGAAGAAAGCCTATGTCGATACAGCACTCAAATTTATCCGTAATTGGATTATTTACTAGTGAATAGAATAGAATAGAATATTGCTTTATTACAACGTTAAAGAAAATTCTTTTTTGGTTTCTACACATGTAGAAGGTAATAAAGTTAAAAACAAACAAAACAAAAAGTGTGACAAACAAACAAGAAAAAGTAAACTACTGTGGTAATATTAGTGTGATGGTGCTGTTTCGGGTTCTTTGTTGAACCCGTCACCAGTCGAACAGTACTTGAGCGAATCGTTCGATTTATTGAGCTTTCAGAATGCTCGACGTTATTACTTTCATTATACAATTAGTTAAAATGGAAAATAATTCTTTGTCGTTTAATGTGTCGTTTTTCACGAGTAGAACTTGTAAGTTTATCTTCCAAGTTAGTATTTCTACAAAATGTAATTAGGGAGGATTTGGAAAAATGTTACTGAATAACTGATCATTCCGAATTAAGTCCCAGGTTTTTTAATAGGGCTCTTTTGAGCTCAGACCCCTGTATATAAGGGTTGAATGTAGTTGTGAATATCTTTTCGATATCATTATCACGCAATTTTTCAATAAATAGATTACATTTATGTAAGAAATCATTTAGATTATTACACGTTCAAGCATACCGAATGGTTTCGCCTTTAATAAATCTTTTGAATACTGATGATGGCTGACAAGAATTACGTTTCAAATATTGAAAGTTTCCGTTGTCTTGGTGTGCGTTTTCACGTCTAATATATTCTGATTATAGAAGCGTTGTCAAGGTACGTGACTTGTGTCATGGAGTATTCAAATGTGAGCCAGTATTTGTTATGGAGCATATTAGCTTCCTGAACAAATTTGTGTAATTCAGGTACGGTACCACGGTACGGAAGATGTCATCTCGAAAACGATACCAAGTTTTAATATATCGAGCACCAAGTAGTAAAATCGATTTTCCAGTAGATGGAATGTAATGTCAGCAATCTCGGGTGAAGATGGTGATCCCATGCTAACTCCACATGTTAGAGTATAATATTCATTATTAAACTCGAATGTGTTTCATCTCAGAATGGTTTCAAGGAGTTTAATTATATATTCCAAAGATAGTGGCTTCAAAAGACTATCATTGTGATTGTAATTCTATTGCATTGCATTAGCGGTTGCTCGGATCGGGTTGGTATAAATTTGAGTCCGTTGCCTGAATGACCTCTGTTGGGGTTAGAATTTTACTCGAAAAATTCCTAATAAAATTTGACTGGAGACCAACTGAGCTTGAGCTTGAGCCTTGTATTTCTGTATTCGTTTGCATCTTGCAATGTGTTTCTTATGTGAGAAGTGTCTATTGCGTTTTGTGTTATTGATTGTATCGACAGAGTCCATAGTAATAATGGTAGTTCATTTTTGGGAGGTGGCCCTGAAAAGAGCTGTTTGGTTTGTGTGCCGAAGCACTGTTTTTTTTTAAGGATAGAAGTGCGTTTCCTGCCGTTTCGGGGGTCTTGCACTGTTTTCCTCGATTGTTTGAGGAATTGCCTTAGTTTTTCAACAGCCAGAGCCTGGTGTTCTTTTCCAGCCAGGCGTTTGATATCTGAAAACGCTTCCTTCTTCTCCTTTATCAGAATGGTCTGGAATTTTTTCAGGTGGATCGGTAAATAAATGTAAAGTAGTTTAAAAGCCTGGTTTGGAAGATCGTGGTTTGGAAGAGAGAAGACATCCAGGAGGTGGACTGATAGCAAAACTCTTTCATGATGTTAAAGCGGGCTATTATCATCTACTTTATACTTAAAGCGGGGAAGTCGTCACCTGCGCATGCATCAGATGACCATAGCGTGTCATTGTTTACAAACAAGCACCTACCCATGAGCCTTTGCGTTTTTAGCGTGTGTTGTTATCGTCGCTTGGGACCCCCGCGTGTGAGCAGGTGACGACCATCCCGCTTTAAAATACTAAAAAACAACTGTTGAGTGCAAAAAAAAAGAAAGAAAAAATTAGAGACAAGGTCTGCTGAAAAAAATCCATATCAGATAGGGGAAAATAGTAGGCTTCATTTCAATTTTCCGGGACCCTCAGGATATCAGATAGTCCTTCCCTAATCCAGTTTTTCCTGTCGTACTAGTATAAGTTATTCATGGAATAATGTGTTTACATGGAATCCTATGGAAACTGTTCCAAAATGACTGCTTTTTAGATTATTTTGCATATGTTTTCTTTGTCATACTGCCTTCTTCCTCTGTAAATACGAATGACCTGCATGTATGTGATTCATCACACATCAATCAATGAATAATTTACTGTGATCAAGTTGTGTAATGTTTTAATACGAACTACCTTAAACAATTTGCAAATCTTCCTTTCAAGATCATAAGAAGAAAAAAACACAATACAAGATTAATACATACGAGTGGATATTTAACAACACGAGGGCACATGCCCCGAACGGGTACATGATCCGGCTGACAAGTAAAATACACATGTGTGCCGGACATAACATTTACCTATTCAAGTTATCACGCAATACTACAGGGTCGTTTAAGGCTTAACTTATGAATATGCACGGCACACTTGAAACGTGTCCAAAATCCGGTTACTGAAATCGAATTTATTTGCGAGCTCTAAGTTCGAATCCAACTACAAATATCTGAAGAGTAGATTGCTAAAGTCCGCTGTCGTGTTCCTCCGCTGCCCGTAAAACTTCGGCCAGGGAGATAGGAGGTGCTTGGTAAGATTGCCTCAAGACTACAATACGCACATCAGCATGGCGTTACACCCGCAATGACTACTGGGATATGCCATCGAATTACAGTGACAACCAAGTCATTGGCTTTCATGCCATCCAGGCAGACAAGATTGTGACGTAGCCTTTGGCGGTTGATGTTTTACTTGAAAAGATACCATGGGGAGTGTCGACTTGCAAACTGGTTAATTTGTTTATATGCGAGACGTTTCTCTGCCCCGAAAGGCAATTACTCAATTCGTTCATGTCGCATAAAGTATTATGTTACGTTTTCGTTTTTTTTGAAATGTAGGTAAAAGGTATTTTTTTCACCAAAACTCCGTTTGTCAAAAAATAAATAAATAACGTATTCATGAGCTATAGTTAAACAATCTTTTGTATGAACTTGATCCACTTGGGACGTAGCCATGACAAAGCGGTCATACACCGTTCCGCCGAGCCGTGAAATCAGATTCGAGAAAGATTACCCATTTGTGCAAGTTGCCAAAGTAAATAATTAGACATAAGTCTACCAGCACTTCTTCCGCCAGGTAAACTTGATTCAGGTGTGCTGCATGTGCGAAGCTTACAACGAAATTACGATAGGTAGCCATGATACCACGAAGAGGTAACAGATTCCATCGCTTTACATTCAAAGAGTCTATCTCTCAGTTCCGCTGAAATAAGAATAGCGTCCGTTCTTTATTAGTATTTCATTGCGTGCATTCTCGTTCTTTAGAGAGTTGCTATGTATACTATGGTTGTCCCACGGTACCATCGTGTCCTCTGGGACTCACGTACAACACTGTTATCCATGTCGTTGAAACTATTTTTCGTCAGCGCAATCAGCGCGAATATGTTGTATATTTTTCACAATTGATACTGTTTCTCCCAGATAACATGTTAGTAGATAGAATAATATGTGATTGTTTATATATGTGTGTGCCTTATTTGTTTGGTGCATATTGTGATTATGATCGTAGCTCGCGCATACTTAGTACCACATTGTGGCCAATGCATAATGTCTTGAATGAAGTTATGACCTCGTTTTTAGAATACTACCCTCAGCACAAACGTCTCTATTATGCAACGACATCACTAAGTGGTGATTAGTATCTAAGCTTACATCTGAAATTATGGATATATTGGTCTGTTCGCGTATTCACCGCCTCGTGCATACATGAATGAATTTGTTCAGCATATCACAGTGTTGATCAAATATCTACCAGCCATGCAGTGGTTTGTCGAATATATTTTTGGAGG